ATCCTAAGAGACGAGTTTGAAAAATGTTTCCAAAAATGGAATTGCGAATTTGACGAATGTATTATGTATAATGGAGAGTACTTTGAAGGTGATGAGGTTGGTTCGTTAAAAAAAAATTAAATACAGCTTTGGAAGAAAAATTCTAGGTTTTTTTTGGGGGGGCGTAGGGAGGGGGAACCCCTTTGTACCAGGAATGTATTATGTATAATGGAGAGTACTTTGAAGGTGATGAGGTTGGTTCGTTAAAAAAAAATTAAATACAGCTTTGGAAAAAAAATTCTAGGTTTTTTTTTTGGGGGGGGTGGGGAGTATGCCCTGGTATTTCCTTTTATTAGTAATAACACTTTAAATCTTATCTTTTTTTTTAAGTCTAATGTCTGTGGGAGTTGCAAGCATTACACATAAACACATAAGCTGCAACACGATATGTAATTTATATTACCAGCAAGATACACAAAAGTGGAAAATCATTAAGTGTGAGCCACTGCATCTCAAACAGGTCATAAATTGGGACTACCTGTAATGAGCAAGGCTATGCATCAAAATCATGGAGACTTTAAAAACAAAGCAACAAAGGGTTCATGAGAGAGGGAAAGTGAGAAAGGAGAAGGAAAATATGAGGAGATGATGCCCAGGGCATAAGTGGAGAGCAAATGTTTTGAGAATGATGAGGGCAACCGTCACCTGTCACAAGTGCCAATCACTGGAAACAATCCTGCAGAAGGACACCTGACTTTATTTCTTACAGTGCGAAACAGCTCCGTGCCAAAGCTAACTAATTTGCTAATCACCACTGATTCTGCAAAATGTATGGTGGAGATTTGGCTGGACAGGTTTACTAAAACCAGAGTGGATACAACATTGTATTGAAAACAAGATAGAAAATCTGCTAAGTGCTTTGGCTTGTGGCTGGTTGGCCTGTGAAATCCTTGTAAGATGCTGAGGCGTGTGAGCTGTCGCATCCTCGTTGCCTACTTAACAGCTGTCAGAGAAACGTGATGGGGTGAGGAGGTGCTTTTTAAAAAGTGTTCATAGTCTTCTGTAAAATGCAAGATGAATTAAAGCTATTACAACAGTGATTCTTTCACACAAAAAAAGAAAGAAAAATGGGATTGAAATGTATGAAACTTTTTATGAACTTTTTGAAGCCCCCTCATATGTCATGATTCATTTATTCAGTCTCCTAATTATAGACAGTAACAATTTAAATTAGAAACAAGTTTTTTAAATGTTACAAAGAACCAAACAAGTGATTACCTTTGTACAACTTTTGCTGTCCAAAACTACCAATATGCACAGCTACCATGGTGAAATAAGGTTTGTTTCAGAGGAGCCTCAGAAACACAGTGGTTAAAACCCTCATCCTACAAACCAAAATGTCAGTAGTTTGAACCAATCAATTTCTCTGCAGGTGATGTGGCCATCTACTACCACAAAGATTTTTAGCCTTAGAAACCCAGTGGGGCTGTTCTATGTCCTATAGGATCACCATGATTCTAAAACCACATGGCAGTGGGTTTGTTTTTTGAGGGGTTATCAGAACAAAACTATTCTTATTTATCTTTATCAGACAGTTTAGAATAGACATATTACTTTTTTTTTAACATTTTATTAGGGGCTCATACAACTATTATCCCAATCCATACACACATCAATTGTGTAAAGCGCATTTGTACATTGTTTCTCAAAACATTTTCTCTCCATTTAAACCCCCGACATTAGGTCCT